TCCTTAATTTATGGGTTAAATATAATAATTAATTAAGAATTTATTTAATTTATTGTGTATGCTGACAAATCTGCAATCTCATTCACGTCACTGGAGTGACCAAATTGCAACCACCTAAATTAAGCAAATATATATATTAACAAAATTTTAAATTTGAACTAAATTAACATTGAATATTATAATGGACTAATTAATTAATAAATATTTTTTAAATATTAATAAATAGCATCCATGGGCGAATATTTGAGGACGTGGGTCTGTATTAATAGATAACTGGGGAATATTGTTTTAATCTTTTATAATTAATAATATTCTTTAATTAAGTGTTCAAACCATTTCTGAGTCTATGAGTATAATATTTCCATAATTAGTACTTAATTATTAATATTTGGTGTCGTTAGTTCCATACACAATATAAATTAGTAGTTGGCATCGAGTGAGGTACGTTTTTATTATCAAGATATAATGGATTGTGCCAATGAAGAGGAATTAAATAACTTTGCAAATTTGAATTAATCAATTACAAGATAAGAGAATTAGAAGTAGAAGATAAGAATGCGTAAAGCAAATATAACGTTTAAGGTGGCCAAAAAGTAGTAAGAGTATGAGACAATGACACTTAAAACAAAGATGGGTAGGATTAAAATTGTGAGGTACCTCAATTTTTTAAGAAAATAAAATTGAATGTTGCACACCTACAAATTTATCTTCAACCAAAAAACACATGCTTATATCATAATTTTAACAAACATAAATGTTATAACGAAGCAAAACGAAAAATTTGGTTGAAAATTGTATGAAAGAAAAAAAAATATATTAAAATCAAAAGAACGATTATAAACTATCACAAACTTGCATAATACTAATCTAAACATAAGCCTAAAAAATTTAAGACAAATATTATTTTTTAAACAAAACCCATAAATCAAAGAGAGATAATATTAATCAAACATTGTCAATGAAAATTTTTCCTCTTTGAATGTCTATTACCATTAGTTTTTGAAGAAAGATCAAGTCTTTAGACGAGAGAGACTGGCTTTCAGCCACTCGTTCGTAAACAGTCTCAACGGCTACGATTCACTGTTGCTTAACTTTCTTATCCAACGGCTATCGTAGTGTGTAAATCTAAAATTCCACGCAACCGTTATGTCTCATGCTGGAGAAAAAACTAACTTCACGTACCTTCACCCGTAAGGTTCGTACACGTGTCATCTTATCAAGAGTAACGGTGACGTGAGGCATGACCTTCCAATCAGACGACTTTTGTTGGTTGGACAACCGCGGTCTCTCTTCGGAAAGTTCGAGCGTCCGTGTTTGTTCGCTCTTTGACCCGTATTAATAAACCTCATTTCAGTTCAACAAAAAACGACGCCAAAATCTCGTCGTTTTGATAAATTCTCTCGCCATTACGTCGCGCTTCCTCTGTTTTTTTTTTTTTCCTTTCTTCATCTCCACTCCATCTGCCTGTTTTGAGTGACTTATCTCGGGACTCCAGGTCTGTTATCCACCATTAGCTTGCTACCAACTTTCATTTCTTTCTGGTTTAAAGTGTTGGCAATTTTTAGTATTTCGGTAATATTTCACAAAAACTAATTTCATACAAGTGCGTATTCTTTTCACGCTTCTGTGTATGCGCGCAGATTTCTTATTGTTCTCGCTATGGACTTTTTAAGTGCATGCTTAATTTGATAAAATGAATGGCACCTAAGTGTGTGTCTTTTTCATCCTTCTGCTCTGTTTCTTTCCCCAATTGATTTGGTACAGAATCTGGTACGGAATTCTGTGTGTACATTAAATGATCGGGTGTTGATTTTTGTCATACATTTATCCAATCTCTGATGCCAAATTTAGTTTTGAATGACACTCGACGGACAGACGAAGGCCAAACCTTTTCTGTGTTTATTATCGAAGTTTGCTGTTTATTGAATTTGATAAGAGGAAATTGAAGATGGAATATGGGTGTGAACATAGAATTAATGTTAACCGATCAACTGCTTCCTGTACCATTGGTGATTTGCATATTAGTTTTGCCCTCTGCACTCTATTTTCATACGAGGGGATGCTCTAGAATTTATTTATTTAATGTACTCCATCTGTGCTGCTGGTCTGCTTCTTTTATGTACCTTTTAGAATCTGATAATTACTTTGTGTTTTTCGTTTCTGTTGGTTACTTTTTTACTTTTCAGCAATCACCTATAAAATTACTTGTTTCGGAGTCCATTTTGCACCACTCTTGACTCCGAATGGGATGGGGAAACATTTACAGAAGACGATTGAAAGTATTCACAGTTGCGGTAATAATCTATTTGGATTATAAGGTGAGTGTTTCTTGTTTGTTGATCACTTCTTTGGTTTGACGTTAAGGGATAAGTTTTTTCATTTGCTCTGTTTTTACTGAAGGCTGCACAGCAAAGGGATAAATGGACTAACAAATCTAAAAGACCTGCTTTATGGGAGAAGGTTCATGAGCGCAATGCCAAACGTGTTCTCCGCTTGATTGTAGAGTTAGAAGGCTTATGGGTGAAACTTGGTCAGTATTTATCGACACGCGCTGATGTGCTTCCTGAGGCATATATATCCCTTCTCAAGCAGCTGCAGGACTCTCTTCCTCCTCGTCCCTTAATGGAGGTTATGTTCGATCTTAATGTGAACTTCATTAATCATTCTGTTAGCTGGTGTTGCTGGAGATACTACTATGGGAATGTGATTCAGTTTCCTGATTTTTTTATAGTATCTGTTCTCTTGATTATGTATTTTCCCATCGATTTCATATCAGTTGTTTTTCATTGTACAGGTCTGTAAGACCATACAAAGAGAGTTGGGGAAATCTATGGATGATCTATTCATGGAGTTTGTTAAAGAACCAGTGGCGACAGCATCTGTAAGATCTGCAAAATTACATCTGAGACTAAAATCTGAGATGCAAACTCAAAGTTCAAAGCATCATTGCATTACATTTTTCAATACCCACCCACAACATAATAAACATACGTTTGTCCTGGACCAATCTTTTTTATATAATTTTCCATTCTATGCAGATTGCACAAGTTCATCGTGCAACTCTAATTGACAGGCAGGAGGTGGTTGTTAAAGTTCAACATGAGGGCATTAAAGCAATCATTTTGGAGGTTTAGCATGCTTTGGAATTTTAGATGTTTGGATGAGAGGCATTGAGTTGCTGTCATTATATGGTTGTTGGACATGCTATTATGTGACAGGATTTGAAGAATGCAAAGTCAATCGTGGACTGGATAGCATGGGCAGAACCACAGTACAACTTCAATCCTATGATAGATGAATGGTGCAAAGAAGCACCCAAAGAACTAGACTTCAACCATGAAGCTGGTATTCTTATCACTTATATGGGTTATTACTTTAAGAGATTTAATCATTGTGTGAAATTAAAAGAGCCAGTGCCTGTTTAGTATTATCTTGGGAATACAAAATTAATATATGGTTGATCTATGGTATGATTTAACTATTGATTCTCCCTCATATATCTGGTTTCATGTTTAATCATGCATCTTTAATGATTTGGGCACCATATAATTGCAATTTTATGAAACTCTGGAATTCTGTTTACCCTTTAATTCCTTTTCTTTACTGTCCAACACCACTTCATGCTTAAATTCATTTCTGAACTTTTTGCATCCTTACCATGTTTTTTTTCTTCTGTAGAGAATACTAGAGTTGTATCCAGAAATCTTGGCTGCAAGCAGAGACAAGATGAATATGAGTCTTCCAACAAAGTGGATGTCTTAATTCCAGAAGTTATCCAGGTAACTGCATTATCCTTTGATATCTTGAATCTGCTTACTGAAGTTTCTCCAGACCTGGAGAGATTGTTAAGATTCCTGGATTTTAGGATTCCAAATACTTTGTGATCGATATAGTGTTGTTTGTTGGCAAGACTCAGGAGCACCTAATAATTTTGTAGAATTTTCTAATGTTGTGTATTAGACATCCAATGTTAACATCAAGAACTGAAGTCTGCTAAAGTTTTATTATCTGTGCCAAATTGTCCGTCTGGTTGTATCCAAAAAATTACTGGTATGGTGATGTTGCCACCTCTGATCCAGGATCTTTCTTTTTCATTTAGATATGTGTATAAGATATCCATAGTGCAAGTAGTGGACTGAGCCTTTGGTTATAACAAATAGATTTTTCCATTGCATAAAGTTCTCAATAGAGTATAACTATATTTACTTTATTCACTATTAAAATTTAGCATGATAGAAATCTGGATGAGAAAGAGGGAATGTTTTCTTTGTTTTAAGTGTTTGAGAATAACCCATCATATGGTTATTGTGGGGTATTTTCATTTTGATCCAAATAATCTTACGCCGTGTTTTGTTGCTTCAACTGATAGTCAACTGAGAAAGTCCTCATTTTGGAGTACATGGATGGAATTCGTTTGAATGACTCTCAAACCCTGGAGGCTTTTGGCGTTAATAAACAAAAGGTTGTTGAAGAAATTACACGTGCATATGCCCATCAGATTTATGTTGATGGATTTTTCAATGGTGATCCTCACCCAGGTATACTCTCTCTCTCTCAACACCCCCACACCCACGCAGTTCCTTTGTTTAATCCGAATCAAGACTCTGCCAGTAATTAGCAGTTTTGTCTAATGATGCAACGTGAGATGATCTCAAAGAATTTTTTATGGCAGGGAATTTCCTTGTGAGCAAGGAACCTCCACACCATCCAATCTTACTTGACTTCGGGCTCACAAAGAAACTATCAGGATCCATGAAGCAAGCTCTAGCAAAAATGTTTTTGGCATCTGCTGAGGTGTGTATATTCTTCTTCTTTTTATTCTTTTCATGGTTGTTTCTGGGGAAAAATTAACTCTTTACTCAATGTTATGAACTTGGTTTACCAGCATATATTGGATAATTAGTGTCAACAAAGTGAAGCCAATGCATTAATCTATTATCATTACTCTTTTTTCTCAAACCATTTGAAGTATTTGTGAAATGCTTAATCACAATCTTTACTGAAACCTTAAATGTTTTCTTCTCAAACCTTCTGATTATATTTAAAGAGTTTAACAATTTCATCTAATTAACCGTAAGTGTGGGGTTTAGCTTGATTTGACCTGTGTTCACTATTTTATATGAAAAATATATTTTAGTTGTAGACTATCTTTAATTTCGTTTGGTTAGAGGAAAGATCTGATTGGTTTGCCTTATACTCTTATGCTTTGGTTCTCAGCAGCACTGGCTTTTATCTCTATTGTTTGTTGTTTCCTGATTGTTTCTAAACTCTCATTGAATTACAATTGTGATGCTTTATTCACAGGGAGATCATGTGGCTCTTTTATCTGCCTTCACAGAAATGGGACTTAAGTTGCGTCTTGACATGCCAGAGCAGGCTATGGATGTAACAACTATGTTCTTCCGCTCTTCAACCCCAGCACATGAAGCTAATGTAAGTATGGGCTGTTTTTTTTTTTTTATAAGGTCTCTTATGAACTAGTGTGTGGCTTATGCCAAATCTCTGTTGTGAAGCAAACAATAAAATCTTTGGCTGAGCAAAGAACAAAAAACTTAAAAGTCATACAGGAGAAGATGAATATGAACCAAAAAGAAGTAAAACGCTTCAATCCTGTAAGTATCTGTTATATTCTTGTTTTCATTTTTTTAGATATATATGACTGACCATTTAATTGATATTTAACATGATATTCACTTTTGTTTTTTGGTTCAGGTGGATGCATTTCCTGGTGATATGGTGATATTTGTACGGGTTCTTAACCTTTTGAGAGGTTGGTAATAGGAACCTTCACCCGTCATCTTGCTGATTTAAATTGAAGAGCCTTCTTTAATAATTTGTGTATGACATGGATTTAGGGCTTTCATCCACTATGGATGTTCGCATAGTGTATCTAGACATCATGAGGCCATTTGCTGAATCTGTTTTGATGGGGTAGGTCTTTTGTAAAACTCGTTTTTTTGCTTATGATTTTGTTTCTATCAATTGTTTGACAAAAACTATGTGTTTATTTTGCAGAAATATAAATAGGGGACCAGTGGTACATCCTCAGTGGATTCATGACTCTCCTGTCCATTCTGACGTGGAAATCAAGCTAAGGCAGCTGTTAGTTGAGCTAGGAAATCTCAACAAGATACTTGGAGTTCAGGTAATCATCACCATTTAATTATTTATAGTCTTTTGATAATATACAGTTAACTAGAGTGTGGAACTGTTTTAATCTTAATTGGGTTTTCTTCATCGTTTGAGCAGTCTTTCATTTTCCATTTTAATGGTTAGATAGTCAGAACTAACTATCCAATATTTGAATTTTCTTGGAATATCTTTAGTGAAGTTCTTTCCTAAATACATCATCGAGTTCTCTAAAATTGAATCTTTAGTGAACTCTGGTAGATATTTGCAGAAGCAATAATATGTTCATAGGAAATATGCTAATCTTTACATGCATCATAAATGCACTTATGACTCTATTGCAGTATTGCATACTGCAAATGATGATTTGATTTTCAAGTAGATGGGATCTAAAACAAAAAGACATCTAGAATTGCTTTGGGCATTAGGTGGTGTGGAAAGATGTAGGGTGGATCTTACGGCCAAAATCTTACCAGGCATAGAGAGAAAGGAAAAGGAAAAAGAGCAAACTGCTATAAGTCCCTTTCCTTCTTCAGATACAACACAACGAAGATTGCTTTGTTGTTTTCAAGGAAAGGAGAATAATTCACATGGTAAGGAGATGGGTCCACTTGTGTAAAAGAGAGGAAGGAAGAGAATACTATTAGAGAAACAATTAATTTATGTCGTACTATTCAGAAATCAAAGTTTTTGTTAATGACTAATAAAATGAACGCAGTTTTTTTGTTAAATATTTTTAAATTGGGAAGCAAATATTTGCAGCAGGTTTGCTATTGGTTTTTAACAGTGTCATCTACATGTTTTTTAAGGTTTGTGCCTATAAAGATGGGGAGGTTATTATTGATACTGCTGCTGGCATGCTTGGTAGATATGATCCTCGTCCAGTTCAGCCAGATAGCTTATTTCCTGTTTTTTCTGTATCAAAGGGTGTCACTTCAGGAATGGTACATTGGCTGGTCGACAATGGGTAATTATATATGACTGGATATGTCATGTTTCCAATTATCTGTTATTCAAATCTCTTCTTTTACTGATGTATACCTGGGCAGACAGTTTGGATGTTCTGGACCATTCTGCAGTTTTCATGAAATATGATTTTCAATAGATCCACCAACGGAAAAATCAATTATTCTTTTTGCTGCTCCACATATTTAGATTTTTTTTTCAAGTAAATGTTTAAGTAAAAAAAAAGTAAATGATTTGTTTGGCAATTTATATGACTCTTGTTTATCTATTTGTCACCATAGACCCTTTCGTGTCCTTTTTTTGTTTAATTTTTTTTCTTTGTGAAACAAATAAGACAGGGTAATGTTCCAATAACATATAGGCTACCCATCATATTCAGGCAGAGGCTTATTCCATGTTTTCTCTAAGTTCTAATGTTTGGGGTAGACTCCGAAATTCTTTATGCCAGCTTTCTGTTTGCAGTATCTTTGCATTGGATATAAATTGGGTAGCTAAATAGGTATAGCATTAATATGCTAATTGTGAAGGAATTTGTGAGTTTTTCACCCAGAAATCCGAAACACAGGCGAAATTAGTTAAAGATGTAAATTTTGTTATCCTGAAAAATAATTCTCAGATGCAGAATTTGTTGTATGATGAATTCTTATACATGGTAGCATTTCATAATGCAGAAAACTCAAGCTTGATGAAACTATTGCAAATATTTGGCCAGAGTTTGGATCAAATGGAAAAGATGTCATAAAGGTGTGTAGCTTGTATGCAAGGGCTTGTTAAGTTGCTTGTGGAAAAAGAAAAAGAAAAAGAAAAAGACTGTTAAAAATACCAGTTTCTTTTGTATTTATGTAAATTGTTCTTGTGTTTATTTTAGGTCCATCATGTGCTCAACCATACATCTGGTTTGCACAATGCTTTCAGCTTAAACGCAGAAAATCCTTTATTACTGTGTGAATGGGATAAATGTTTGAACTTGATTGCTAGTTCAGTACTTGAGACAGAACCTGGCAAGGAGCAGTTATATCATTATCTAACATTTGGCTGGTTATGTGGTGGAATAATTGAGGTATTTTCTATTGTTGTATTATAATTTTACATTCGAAATTTTTATAAGCTCCATTTCCCTTTGAAATTCGTTATCCCCTCTTCTAATGAATATGCTGGGATGAAAACAGTATGCATCTGGAAAGAAATTTCAGGAGATTCTTGAAGAAGCATTCATTCAGCCCCTCAAGATTGGTGGCGAGCTGTACATTGGGATTCCTCCAGGTGCTTGTCAAATTTAAGCTTTTTAAGGTTCCTGCTTCGTGAAGCCTGATGACATTTAAACATGAAAACAAACATAAGTCATGTCAGCATGAAACAGATTAGTGTTTTCCTTCAAGATAACCTCTTATTTACTTGCTCCTCTCACATTCCTGTTCAGGTGTGGAATCTCGACTTGCAACCCTTACGCTAGATACTGATGATCTCAGCAAACTTTCAGAGATGGCTAATCGTCCTGACCTTCCTTCGACCTTCCAGCCTAGGAATATTGCCCAGACAATAACCACATTGCCTGTCTTATTTAATTCGTTGAATGTTCGCCGTGCCATCATACCTGCCGCTAACGGCCATTGCTCCGCCCGTGCACTTGCACGATACTATGCAGCCCTGGCTGATGGTGGAGAAGTCCCACCACCCCATTCATCTTTGTCAAAACCGCCACTTGGCTGCCACCACCACATCCCCCGATTTACTAAGTCCCAAGAGAAACAGAAAAAAAGTAAGGAGATCTTAGCTGCATTGAAGAAGAAAACAAATTATAAAGAAAAGAAGTATTCTAGTGAAGATTTGAAGGTTGATGGCCATGGAGGAGACAATTTAACTAGGTTAATCAATGATGGTAGTTCTGGCAGTGGAAATAATTCCAGTACGACTGGCAACACCGAAAACTGCCCTGATTCTAAAAGCACTGTCAGCAGCCTTTTTAGAAACCCTAGAATTCGTGATGCATTCTTGGGTGTTGGTGAATATAGAAATTTGGTGGTGCCTAATGGAAAGTTTGGACTAGGGTTTAGGAGGGTGGATTCAAATGGTGGATCCTTGATTGGATTTGGGCATTCGGGGATGGGGGGATCAACAGGGTTTTGTGATATTGAAAACAGGTTTGCGATTGCGGTGACATTGAACAAAATGTCATTTGGAGGTGTTACTGCTAAAATTATTCAGCTTGTTTGTTCAGAGCTGAATCTTCCAATTCCAGAAGAGTACTTGAGGTCGGGTACTGTTCAGCAGGGACAAGAAGTAGAGTTGGCGAGACCTATAATTAACTGATAATTATGCTGTCGGCTCAACTGGCGCAGGTGCTCTTTAGCGGAGCCCATGAATTGGGGTCCAATACAGTGTTAAAAAAAGTTGACGATTATAATACAAATTTTGCCATTTAGTTTCAGATACTGTACTGTGTACATCATGAATTGTATACCCAGCCGAAGGCATATCTGCTAGAATGAAAAGTTGGATTATACTAATTTAGGTTTATGGTGGTTGATTTATTTGTTATCGCTTTATGGGTACACAAAATTATGTGACGAACACCAGATTGTAATCTCTTTACACCCATCCCAAACTTCTTTTATGTTTGTGGATGCTATCAGTCTCTCATATGAAAGTCTTTTGGAGTACATAAATATTTCTCTGTATAAATGTGCATGCGGAGGCAATGGGTGTAAGTATATATATATTCATGAATGTGTGTTTATTTATTTATTTATGCGAGTGATTCTTCGTGATAATGCATGTCAATGCAATGCGATCAAGTGGCAGATCATCAGTGAACATGTAATTAATTCAAAACTACAAAACGCGGTTTGCATAATTGAATATCCATCTGACCAGTCTGCAGTATTCGATTCTCGTTACCGTACATTAATGGAATATTTAATTTATAAATCTAAATATCTGATGTTATTTTAGACAAGCAGATACTTACACACCCAAATACATTTTGGGTGGTGATTTTTTATTTTTTTAAAGACAGAATCATCCCCTGCATTCGAGGAAAGGGCTCCGTTAATTTCACGTGTATGTAGGGCACCGTTATTTTCTCTTTTGATATATGTGTGTGTGTGTGTGTATATATATATATATGTATGTATTATTTTGTTTCAGTGGAAGTCCTCTTCAAAGATTAACGCACTGGGATTTGGAATTATCAGGTGAATGGATTTGGTAGATCCGCATACATCGCTCTGTATGATTTACCATAAGTACATGTCCGTAGGGTAGGTACCATTATGGTGATTCACAGATATCATATCTTTATTTATTTATTTATTTTTTCAAAAAACAAATACTATACGGCAATTACTATTACGTAACAGTCAGTAATTACTATATAACATCAAATTATTGCCCATTCAAATGAGTTTAAAAAACACACACACACATATATATATATATATATTAAATTTTTGTTCAATAATTTTTTAACAGAAAGTTTTGCTTAATATATTTATAGGGACTTGCAAATATGTATAGCCTAGAGCATCTAGTAAAATGAAGGTTTAACCATTTTAGTTTCCTGCTCCCTATTTCCACTACAGATAGACAGGTTTACAGAGTTAATTAATATCTTAATATGCAACACAAATACAATGAATTGTCTACACCAACAGCAAATTACAAATATTATTATTATATAATTTGCCAGCTTGCCAAGATTCGTAAGATTCAATAAACAATATTAATAATCTGGCTGACAGTGGCATTCATCCTGATTATCATCTAAACCAAGGGTGTTATATTAACACACTTGCTATATAAATTAGCATGCAGTGGCAGCCTAAATATTGCACCACCAATTCCATGATGGGAATAACAGGAGTGTGTTTGCGGTTGATTGGGGAGCTGGCGCAGGCCCTTAGAGGTGCGCGATCCGACCCGGCTCACAGTGATCCAAAACCCATTTGCGAGAAGGCAGATGCAAGTGAAGTGGATGAATTGATGGTCCGGGCTCTCACCGCTGTGTTTGGGATGGAAAATAACGGTAAGATAAAGAAGGAGAAGGCACGGCGAGTTGTGGAGAATCTAGGGTTGATATACAGCGAGAGCGAGGAGGAGAGGTCGAAAGTTGACGAAGGTAATGATGAGATGGGTTTAGAGGAAGTTGTTGGAGGATTAATGGAGGCAGATGGGTCGAAGCGCAGCGAGCTACTACGTGAAGCGTTCAAGATATTTGATGAAGATGGGAATGGATTCATAGAGGCAATGGAGTTGAAGAGAGTGCTGGAGTGTTTAGGGTTAATGGACAAAGGGTGGGATATGGGTGAGATTCAGAAGATGCTTCATGTTGTGGATTTGAATCTTGATGGGAAGGTTGATTTTGGTGAATTTGAGTTGATGATGATGGGATAATTAATTAATCAATTAATTAGTTAATTAATCTAATTATTTTTTTAAGTCATGCTAATTCCCTGTTTCTCTCTCACTATATATCTTTCAAATTCAATGATCGCATACCGTTATTTTTCACTTCATGGATGAATTATGATTCTGCAAAATGATATTTCTTCTACCGCATAACCAATTGTTATTTTATTTTATTTATCTTTAAAAAAAAAGCTATTTTTTATCTCTATATTAAAGGAATAATATCTTAAAATATTACCAAATTTATCTTAAATTACATCTTGCAATTTTAATTATAATAATTTGTATAATCTAATTTGAAACTAAAATAAATTAAACAGTTTGAATCGGTTTAAAATTGAATTCTAAAAAATTTTTCGGACTTGTTACGAGAGTAATATCACTTTAGTCCTGATTAGACCAAACTAACTAAAATTTGTTTAATCTAAATCCGATCCATATCGATTGTATGGAATATTTTATTTTTGAAGTATATTATGTGTATGTGTATATATATAGATATATATATATGGTACACAATGTGCAAGAAATCAAATATTCACCGATTAATCAGGTTTTTGTCTTAAAAAATAGTAAAAAAAAAAAAAAAAAAAAAAAAAAGAAAGGGGGAATGGAACTCGCTTTTGCAGTTGTTTACTAGAAATCAGGTTTTTTCTGTGTTGCTGGTTACGCAGGGGATGACTTCTATGTCAATACATTTTCAACATAATTTATATTACTCATTGTAACCATTAAGTAACTGATTATAGTGTGAGTATCATACATAATTTTTTTTTTTTTTTTATGATCTTGGGGTTACATTTTCCTAAACAAATTTTCACAAATAACAGTTGTTAATGATTTTTCGTAGAAATATATATATATATATATATATATATATATATCTTGTTATTCTCTTCATTATTTTTTATTTTTTCATTGCACCAACTATTTTTATTACATATTTGTCTTATTGTTGACTTAAGCTTATTTCCCTATAAACTTTTTTGTTGATTCGATAGTGATGTAAGATCCTTGTCAATCCTTTTTTTTTGTTTTCGATTATAAAATGTGAGCAAAAATTATAAATTGATTCGAGTCAACCATATAATTGATTTTGTATAATATGTAGTGATGTGCATTCTTTAAATTTATTTTCATATAGTTATTCTTAGTTTACTTTTTTTTTAATTTTCTAAAATATAGTGTGTCATTTATTTTTGTCATGTTCGTGCTTGTTTCTTATAAATGTTTACTGACTATATTAAAGTTAAATTTTAGTAAGTACAGAGTTTGTTGATTGAGAGTAACCAGCATGAGAAACTAATGGCTTTCAGCAAAAATTAGATTACTCCAGTCCTATAATCCATCCTCCTCCTCAATGGATGCTTTGTTTTCTGTTATCGTTCCATTTTGTGTTGTATGCAGTTCTATTATAACGACCTAGAAAATTCTAAAGAAAATAAATTATAAATTCAGTGCGGAAGCGAAATAAATAATTAAGGTTTACATTCCTTACACAAAAACTTAAAGTTTCAAATAATGTTACGGGAATTACCCTTTGAAGGAAATACAAAAAATAAGAAAATAAACGGAAAATAAATAAAACTGACATCCTACTCGTAACCCTCTTGTGGATCGGGCTCTAGATCTTGATCCTCTTGATCTTAAATTGTTAATAAAGGAATGAGTTACGCTAACTCAGTAAAAATATCACACTACTCACCGACACAGAAATAAAAGTTGGTAGAAAAATCAAAACAACTAATAGAGCTCTTAATTAACAAAATTCATTTATCATAAACAAAATCGTTTACCGCCTATTGACTGTAGAAAAATTTACAAAAAACTTATAGAGACAATAGCATACGCTTCTTACCAATTATCGTATGC